TTAATAGCACATTAGATTGTTTGTTGAACAATGTTGATAGTCGCTCTATACATGTCGATTATCTGTAACTGAAAAGAATCGTTCTCGTAATTTCTAATGAGCTATTGGTACTTTTCGAAGGTATGTTATTTTGGAGTACATTATACTTTACAAATCATTGTGTATGTTTACGTTTATTACTAACTAAACTTATTTTTCCAGTTCATCAACTATTTTTATTCATCAAGCCTTGTTGAAATTATGGAACAAAATGTTTCAATGTTATTAATTCAAGAATAAGTGAAACAAAATGACTTAATACAGATCCGTATAGCAAACAATAATATTGTTTTGGAACTATTTTCACAATTTATGTATTTGAAGTCAGCTTAATGAGAACACTAAACAATATTTTTCAGAGATAATTCAATGAATTCTAACAGACGGATCCAAAATATTTAACCAATTAATTACGATTTAAATTTAAAAAATTCGCACCTATTCTAACTTTACCAATAATATTTCTCTTTTGAATGTGGTGTCGTAAGGCGATGTAAAATCATGACAGTCATGTGTGTTTCATCTACACATGTGTAAATAAAAGTAATTTTTTACTTTGATGCCTATGCTGCGTTCTGTTCTTTTACGTTTTTCTTCAATTCTCTATTAGCTGACGGCACCCGTGCTTCTTTCTCTCTTTCGTCTGTTTATATGACGCTTACTTCTTTAGTTGGTAGTTATGTTGTTGGTTTCTCCTTGAAACGATATTTCTGTTCTCTAGTGAATACTGAAGACTTTATTCTTTTTGGCTGTTGACAGTCGAAGTTGTCATGCATTATTGACCATTCAGTAAATAAAGGTGAGTTTCATCGTATCTGAGATGAATAATTTTAGTGAAACATGGATTTTCTTTAAAAATATTAAATTAATATTATTTTTTATCACTCTTGATGAAGATCATCAAGATTGTCGAATAATTATTAATTATACATGACTAAGATAACCAGTTGTTGCTACTGAAGTATAATTTTTTCAATAATTAGGATGTTTATCATCCTTTCATAGGTAGCTATAGCTGTTGATGTGAGATGATAATCCAATACTTTCGTAATCATAGACGAATGAGGTGTTATTCAGAAAATCAGACATAGAGACATTTATGTTATTTTGAATTTCATCATCAAAAATCTGTTCAAATATTAATACGATATTTCTTTTCTAGTTGTCATAAGTCTAATCCAACTTTCCATCGCCCTAGAAAAAAACAAGTCTTTTTTTTCATTTCCATGGAAATAACTTCACGTCCTCTGGCATGTTTTCATTTCGATCAACAGAATATGATATAAACTTTTTACGTTCTAATATAGAAGCTGTATGGCAGTCCATAGAAAAACAGAACTCATGAACTGATTTCATTAAACTCAAAGTTTAACTTCATTACCTGATAAGTTTTTCTGATAATATCATTTAATCACAATAAATCATCTATATCAAAGAAAAGCACTCTAAAAATCTTAAAAGTATGAATAGTTTTTTATTTTTCATTTCTATTTAATTATCATTTATGTTCGCTTTTATGAAATAAATCAATAGCTAAAGTATTTATTTTCTTCTAATGTTGATCCCAGAGCACCGAATGGGATGTGGTGAGACGCAAAAAATCATCCCATGAGATGGGACAACTAAAAAAAAGTTGCCCCGCCATAGGATGGGATGGAGCGAACCATTTTTCATCTCATCCCATCCCATGGGACGTCTGAAATGTCAAATATTTTTTAAGATGTCAAATTTGTTTGTTTATCATCGATCCACTGAGACTACCAATTATAATATTGCTTCATGTCATATTTCATAATTTTATTAAAATGAAGCTGAGAGTTTGAATTTCTGTTCTTTTTGCATATTACAATAATGACATCATCCTGGTTTTGAATACAGCATTTTACAAAATAGAGAAAAGAAGTAGTAAATGAGAAGGGGAAATATTTCATTAAATACAAAGGGTGTGGGTGTGTGTGTGTAGACTCGTACGTTCGCCTTTCCTCACATCCATACTCACACCCTCAATCATGTTCATTGTCAGTAATGAATGATTTCTGATTAGTCTAAGAAATATTTCATATTTAAACATTATTAAGTAAATTCGAATACGTCTGGTTGCAAGCTCATTCATAATTAGACATTTTATTTAATTGCATCTAATACTTGTATAATGTTCAAATTTCATAACAGATTACGAAGTAAATAATATTAGACAGCTGTAAAATACTCTTTTGATCAAACTACTATGTCATTTTTTATTTCATATGCATACCAGAATAAAGGATATATAAATTCAGCTATTATTTATTCTTTCACGTTGACTACGATTTAACAATAAACTGGAGTAGCAGAATACAAAAAGAAATGCACAGTTGGGATCAAGATATAGTGAGGTATCGAATAATTTTCGAAAAACAAATGTAACATAGGTGGTGTATGACGGTCACGTATCATTGCATTCGAACACTCTCTGTGTTTTATGACATCCTCATCACGTAATCGTAAAATGAAAAATGCACATGTCTTATATGAAATATTTACTACATCGAGAGAAAGAGATATGCAGAGACTCAAATCTCAAAAATCTTTCCTCCTTTGATCGTAAGTTATATTTACATTGGTTTTTAAGAGATTACTATAGTCCTTTTGATCCTATATTTGATCTTAGTTTTTTTCTCATAATTAATACACGAAATATCTGATAGTAACATGTTCCTACATTCTCTGCTAGACTATTTTAAACACATTTCTGTTTTTTTAGTCATTCACTACTTTAAATATTCAAAGGTTTGTATAGACTTAGATATTTATTGAACAACACAATTCACTACAATATATTCAGACAACAAATTGAAAGACGTCTTGACAAATGAAAACATTTAAGTAGTTAGTTGAAAATGATAAATATTTAAAGAAACTATTTAAGGATTAAAAATTTTATTTTTAAATTTTCCCAAAACAAATACTACTTATGTAAAGCACTAATGTATTACTCATGATAAATGACAATGATTTCTAGAGACACAGTAGGAAAACAAAAATCTGATGCTTTAACTAGAAATAATCTATTCAACTACGTACTGAGTATAAACTACCACACAGCTAAAGATTAATATAAATAATACAAAGACTCGATATAGACAGAAATGCAATCAATTGGCAAAAGAAATCTCATGCATTTTCCTTGAATATATATTAGTAAAAACTACACTACAACTAAGTATTTAACATCAGATTAGTTGAGTTGATAATATCGAAGAGAATAATTCGAGTTTGTTTTGTGATTTACCTAAAAGTATATTTGACGTTACAATATTACCAGGTATTCTGGCTTAAATATACTAATGTTAGGGGTGTCAGCGTTCCCCGTTCCCAAGCCTTCCATTCCTACCCAGGTTGATCAAAACGGACTCGTTTACAGTCTGTTTATCGACGGTAAACGATGTCAAAACGGTTTATTTACGGCAGTAAATAGACCATATTTGCCCGTAATACCTGGCACAGTAATACGGCACTGTAAACGGGACTGAATTTTCATGGTTTACGGCTGTTTGTGCTCCGTACTCTCATGATCATACGGTCCGTATTACTGCGCCAGATATTACGGCAAAACTTTCACTCGGAAAATAGTCGTAAAGTAACCGTAAACGGTTGTATACGGACCGTACTGTTCGACCTGGGTAAGAACGGGAACGCATCTCAACCTACGTTTTTGAATAGCTCATAAATGAACCAAGGTATCTATTCATTTTTGCTCACCATTTTATTTGTGGAGGTTATCCGTTCCCATGCCCAAGAACGGGAACGCATAATAAAGTATAGATTTTTTTAGAGATCTTCACAGAAACCATCAAGCTGATCCATTTCTACTTATGCTTTACTTGAGACACTCCTGCATTCTCATTCTTAGGAATGGAAAATTCAAATTGAACTTCCTATCGAGGGAATATGAATCTAGAAACGCGTTCCCATTCCTAGGAACGGTAACTCAGTTAGAGTTCCTATTTTAAGGAACGAGAACGCAGGAGTGTCTCCAGTAAAAACATAAGTAAAAAAGAACCAGTGTGATGATTCCCTACACAGTTTCTAAAATAAGCGTAGTATATGATGCGTTCCCGTTCCTAGGAACGGAACGGGAGCGCGACACTCTTAACTAATATTACTGTTGAAAACTCACCGATTTCGATATTAATCTTACTCTAGAAACTATATGCTAAGCTTTTATTGAATAACAGTGCGCATTCATAGAATTAATTGATGATACAAAGATTAATATTAAATCCTTCAAAATGTTCCAATCATTTAGATAAAATACTAACTACATTGTTGAGAAGAACTCACAACAAATGAGCAACGTGTAATCATTATTAAGAATGCATCAAATCGAATCTTCAGGAAAACATTTTAAGAAAATATAGAACTAAATCAAGAGATACTGTATTTTGTTTTTCGTTTACTATCAACTTTATTTATAGAAAATGAGCAAACTTATTTTGAACATACGAATACGAAGAAGCAGCAGCAGTACACGATTGAACGAAAATTACTAAATATAGAGTTGTTTAGAAAAAGAGAACGAAACATCTTTGGTTATTGTGATATAAAAATTTGTGTTTTCAAAATATTTATCCAGGCTTTAATATTATATCTTCGATAAAATTAGCACTCTCAAAACAAATTTTATCGTTCTTTCCAATAACTGATTTTTTTATGTTATCATGGACCGAGAGTTTCGAAATAGCTGTAATGACTAGTTATCTCTCATGCTGATATGCGATAGAAAACCCAAAAAAGAAGTGAAAATTAAACGTGATTTTCAGATATAGACTTCATCTTTTCTTGTTCAAAAAATGATTGATATTTTTATACAGTACAATCTTAATTCTTTCATTTGTCATTCTAATAATATTGAATAATAATTATTAGGTGTTTGCATTCTAATTATCTATACACATATATTCTTATATAATTTTAGATCGATGATTACTTCTAGAAAAATTCTTCGACTCAAAAATAATGAGCATTTACCGGTGATTACTCTTGCAATCACAATTGTTGTTGTTATTCATCTTTGTAACACACATGATGAAAGAACGGCTAACCAATACATAATGGAAGATAATGAGAAACAAAATCCTAAATTATGTCCCCTCTATCCGTCTACTCTGCAAGGTACTTCTGAATTCAGTATAGTTAATATATTGTGGATAATTTATTTTTATGATCTGTTTTAGGGAATCAATTAATTGATATGTCGCCCGATATGGAATGGACAGATGTTGAAAAACACGTAAAATATGTGCAAAAAGGTAGAAAATTTGAGGTTCCTAACTATTTACTCAAACAAGACATGTATAAGAGCACAGCAGATCAGTAATGTTAATATTCATAATCCATATTTTAGTTTTCTATATGCCATTTAATATAAAATTTTATGAAATAGAATATCAAATATTCAACAAATGAATATTTTCTGTTGTTTTGTTGGTCTATCTATAAAGTATTCGATTCGTTCAGAATATTTTGTTTTCTATTCGAACAAATTCTATATTAACGTAGATATCGATAAATGCTGTGAAAACATTAAGTATAATATATATATAGAAATATTATACAGGTTTCATTTTTGCGCTAAATATCTTGTCTGAATATTTTTCTTCGAAATTTTAATTTATATATGATTACCGATATTCTTAAAAATATATTCCCTTTATAGACTCGAGATTTTTTTATTTTGTTTTTATCGTATAATCTGAAGTAGTATTTATCAATTGAATATATTTGAGATCCGAAAATTGCCGTCAAACTTTTAAAATTAGAGTAGAAAGCAAATTTACATAACACGCGTACAGTAAGTTGTACTTTGCTTCGTGTTTTTCTCAAAACAATTTTTTCTTTGAAAACAAGTGTAGAATCGTCCCTGTCTCATAGTGATAAAGGTTCGATTGAGTTGAGATCTTTTCCGTATATACTTAACACTGTCAGAGCTAAGAATTTATTTTTTGGTTCAAAAAGAAACTATTTTATTGATTTTGCTTGACTCTTCGAAAGAAAACTCCAATAAAAAGAGTGGCATGATTTGTTTTCAGGATATCTTGGATATTTTCGCTTTTTTATTGAAACTACAGAAATACCTGTAAACAATTTAAGATCAATAACATATTAGAATGTTGCGAATACTAAATCATTCGCTCATAGCTTCATATTCTATGCATGTCCAAGTAACGAAAACGAGTGATTTAAGATTACGTCAGGATTCGCAGCAATGATCATAAAAATATGATAATGTGAGCTAAAGGCAAACTGTAGCTGTTAAGTTAGAATCTTTCAACGAAGAAAAACTCTAAATAATATTAGGTAAGTGGTAATAATCGATATATAATTTCTGTCTTCAAATATAGTTTTTAAAATGTTTTATTCGATTTGCATAAGCAACAAATATTGACCAATCTTTTTTTCAATGATTGCAAGAAGACAATGAGTATTCTTTTGATTCCATAGAACTATGAGTAGTGTTATTTCACAATATTTATAATTAGTTTCCTGTATAAATCTATCAAAATCTTCAATATGTTTGTTTTCGGTTATGGAAACAAACAGTATTGTTGGTCTCATAATAAAAATTGATCATTAACTGAATCTCCATGTAAGTTGAATCAAATATCAAGAGTGTATGATGAAAAACAATTTGACCTATAGATTCGTCCATCTATTACTTTCGGATATTTTTGTTTTCTAGAGCATATCTAATCGCTTCTAGCAAATAATAACGAGCATGTGATTGAAACTCACGATATTCTTAAACAATAACAGATAAAAATAGTATCTCTTTGTTTAAAGGTGGACTATATGCTCCAAGTGACTGTACACCTCGACAACATCTTGCTATTATAATTCCATTTCGGAATCGTGAATTTCAATTGAAAATACTTTTACGTCATCTTCATCCTGTTTTACAACGACAAAAACGATCTTATCAAGTATTTGTTGTAGAACAGGTTGATATTATTCATTCATTTTCTAAATATTAACTAACATATTCTATTTGTAATTATAGTTCGGCAATGGTACTTTTAATAAAGGTCTAATCATGAATGTAGCATTTGATTATGCATCAAAAATATCTACATCAGTATTCAATTGCTTTATGTTTCACGATGTTGATCTTATACCAGAAAATGATTTTAATGTATACGAATGTGATTCACATGGACCACGACATTTAGCACCGGCCGTTGATGAATTACGCTATTTGTAAGTCGAATATGTTAATTATTTTATCGTTGAGGAAACAGCCATAAAGCTCAAAATAAGATACAATTACCTTTCAGTCTAAACTATCTCCAATAGATTTATATTCGTTATACATACTGCAAAAAAAATCTGAAAAATGAATCCCAACTTTCAAATGATTGAAACATGTATGTAAGATTTGCGTTCAAAGACTGTTAAATAGTCTTATCAAACATTTCGATATTTCTATTTCGGATGTTAGTTTTCTGAAAATTATATGTAGCATGATCACTAACTGTCAACAATTCACTAAAGCTATTTATAATGTTTATAACAGAGAAACAAGTTAATAGAACTGAATGCTCAAATTTGACATTGTTACCAAATGCATAGATTCAAAACGTGACAGAGAATTATTAATGTATTATCCATCTCAATTAAATATTATATTAATCTCTTCTTTCAATAAAGTGATCTTTCTTTCTATTCAGCTTAATGTATAATGACTTGATTGGCGGTGTTCTTGCTGTGACAAAAGACCAATTTAGCAGAGCAAATGGTTGGTCAAATTTATATTGGGGCTGGGGAGTAAGCGTTTTTGTTTTGCTTTTATAGTTTATAAATCAGGTCATTTTTTTTTCTCTCTCCCTCAAACACATTAGTTCGAAGATGATGGTAAGTTTAACACAATAAAGGTAACGCATAATTTTATTTGTTTTATTTTTTAGATATGAATCACAGGTTTGTAAGTTAGTATTTTCATTGTCGTGCTTCAACTTCAATTTGTTAGATTACGTCATGCGGGCTATCGTATTAGCCGACCACCTAACTCAATTGGCCGTTATAAAATGATTCGCCATCAAAAACAAGTACCTTCATTTAGCAGGTATTTCATGTTCGTTTTTCCATATTAATTATCTATATTTCTACTTCATTAAAAGATATGAAACACTGAGTAAATGGCTCCGTTATTCTTATGATGGCATTCGGCAGCTTAATACACTAGATTATTCGATCGTTAGTACAGAGACTCGTTCATTGTACACTCATATTTTAGTCAATTTTACTCGTTCAGCTACAAAAACTATCGATCATTTGCTGGAAGAGACTCAGAGAGCTAAATAAAATAGATTGTAATGATGATTTTTAATTTTCAAATCAGTTAAGTGTAATTGTAAAAAAATTGAAAGAAAATTGTTTTCAATTAATCAGAACAATTCAGGTTTTTATTTTGTAATCAATCTGATAGTAAGATTTTGTTCTTTTCTCTCTCTCTTTCTCTCTCTAAGAATCTTCATCAATAAAATATGTATTTGTAGATCTATCGAATACACGGAAAACATATAGCAAAATCAACTAAATTCTATGAATGCGAAGAAAAAACTAGATGATTATATTTGTACAGATAATAAAATAGTTACATGATCATGTTTTTACTCTCTATTCGATATTTCTAACATGTATTAATAAAGAAATTTTTGAACAAAATAGATCTCTTTTGTAGATGTTAAAAAAGCGTTTCAATTTATCGCTCGTCGTATTTCATCTACTATTGCAACTAACATTGACTTTCGTTTCGTCTCTACAATGGTCTCTATTAGTGATTTCGTGTATTGGCTACTCAATTCTGTTATATAAGCAATATTATCAATCGAATGATTTCTCTCCCTTATGCAATCATTATCTATCATCAATAATTTTTACTATTATTCACTTTATATTTGTTCTTTCTTATAACAAAATTCTTCCATGGGAAATTGGTCTTGTTGTTTTGTTCATATTACTTATTCTTCATTATGCTCGACGGCTAGGTGCATCGATATTTAGATGGGATCTTACTTGGTAAGTTACATTTTCTGTTTTTTTTCTCATTCTTCTTCTATCATAAAATCATACAGGTTACCTCTGGGTCATCAACAAGAATATGATTCCATTATGTCTATTGTCGTAGTTAAATTTTTCATTTCAAGCCTGCTTCTCTTTGGATATACATGTCAATTGTGTCTAACAACAGTTTGCACACCGTCGATATATTTCAATTGGTTTCTTGTTGTTACTGATTGCCGTTATACATACTCATATCTACTGTATGTTTTTGTTTGCTATTCTTTGAATTTATACTCGAAGTTGTTCTTTTCTTTTTATAGTTCGAGCTATACGTTCGCCGGTGGCATACTCATATCATTATCTTGGACAATTGTGTCGCTTGTTCATTTGATTGCTCATCGGTTCAAATCTTAGATATAAACAAAAGTTGATTTGATTGAAAGTGCAACTATTTAACTGATAGACAATGAAATGGATTACAAGCAACTTATTGAGGAAGAATTTCAGTCAAACTCAATTTATTTGAAAATAAATTCTTATTAGAATTCTTATTGTGCAGATTTTTGAAGAATTTCAGTGTTTAACTTTTAGATTTAGTTGTAATATCACGTGTGTTACAAATAAATCCTAAATGTATTTTTTTCCTTTTTCTAAAATAATGAACGGCAACATAAATTTCGGATAAAACTTTCTGTGTCTTTTACCGTATGATGATGAAAACTAGAGCGATAAACATACGAGAACTTCACTGCTAAAAACTTGAGTATGAAAAATTCTGTGACTAAATATAAAACATTGAATATGGGATAAGTCTATCGCTGCGATTATGAGTCATCTCTTAGTATGCATCCAAATCTAACAACAGATTTTCAATATTTCATGTTTTTTGTCGTTGATTTTGAACTTTATGAATGTTACACTGAAAAAATACACAAGGATTGCTATTCGTAATGATCGAATGAAGAATAATTCAATGAATTGTTCGCTTTACGAAAAAAATGAAAATAGAACTTAAAAATAATAATCAAAACTCATTATGCTTGATTTCTTCTTATCAATTCTTGTATATAGTCTCATAAAGTAGCATAGCTCTTTCTCTTGACATTCCGTATTACTTTTCTATTTCTACCGATGGAACAATGTTATACGATGTGGTTCTTTAGATAAGAACATTTTTCTTGATTTAGACAAAAAATAAATTAAATGTTTTCGAAGCATTCTTAATATTCAATTCGTTTCCATGTGCACCCACTTCTATAGCCACACGCAGATATCCATAAAAATCCACCTACGTTCACACTCTGTACCTTTCATTCTTTTTTGCGAGTATTTTATTTTATCAGTCCTGAAAATTCTTCACATTTGTTGTTTCTGCACTCATCGTTTATGAATGTGTAAATAGAAAATGTTGGTGTATATGAATTCAAACAGTGCATTTTTAGTTCCTTTGACGAATTCTAACGAATTTTATTTTACTTCGAATTATTTATCTCTACATAAAACAAAATATGATTTTGTTTATAGATACAGGAAGACAGAGAAAAGAAACACATTACAAAATGAACATAATAGATCATTGCAGCATTTGAGAACCGCTAACACGACTAAAAACATATTTTTAATATTAACAAATATCTTATTCGACTACTTAGTAACTTTGATTGTATTGCTGTAGAAAGTGGATGACTATAGTAATTAAGTTTTTTTGTACAGCGCGAGTATAGATTTGAGTCACGGCCTTGTTGAGAGAGAATAGAACATGGAAGATATCTATGATTATTAACACTTGTAGCTTTTCCATAAAATATACTCGATAATTTTGCAGTACTGTTAATATAATTGTCTCAAATTTTCGAATAAAATAACATCAATCGTATCAGTTTTATTATAAAACAATACAAATAGAAGATACTAATATTCTAAAATGACTGTTTAATATCCAATTCATCTCAAGTTAGATATTTTTATGTATCTACTGTTGATTTGTGCACATGATCGTACTTTTTATTTATTTTCCGATTCTAATAAATTGATACAAATTATTTCAAATAAAAAACAAACATAATGATAACTTTTACAATATTTGATCAGTGTTTTTGATGGCGTCCTTTTTTGAATAAATGAACAACAACGATTGAAGAAACTAGACTATCCTTTTATAAAAAAAAATGACATATTGGATAACCTTTGATAATTCTAAAGTCTTATTGAATAAGTTGGGTATATAACATATTTTATTGTGAAACGTGATAAAATGTATCTCATAACAAGAAACGATGATATCAAAACAACGAGAAAATAAACTTGTTTTTCGTCCCGAAAAATGATTCATGCTATTATTCGTTTATAAAAGCGTTTCATTTTGCCCGCTACTTGTTGTACATTTTCAATAGTGTCATCTTTATTTATTTTTATTTTATTTTTCTTCACGCACCAATGTCTACTATTACATAATGTGGAAGACTCGATTTGAAGTAACCACTTCTTCAGGTGAAAGTTTGAATCATCATCGTACATTTACTACTCCATCGACAACAATGCACCATTACTGTTCATGGTCATTACAGAAACTAGCTCACGTTCGAGATGAGTCACCATACGGTCTTATTCGTTCATTTTCATCATCATCAATACCAAATCTTGAAATACTTACTGAGGAGGATGAAAATATGTCGTGTTCAAATCTAACATATCATGATCAAACAAGTTTAGTATCAAAAAAATTACGTAAACAAAATTCAAAGCAAGCTTTTATTAGACAACAATTAGTTCTGCCAACAATCATCGAGTCGAACGATCATGATGCAATTTCGGATAGTCAATCATATAATGACGATGAAGATATTACTGTGAACGAACTGATTAATGATAGACATAATGAATATATTTTTAAATCTACACCAAAAGATTCATTTGGAGCAACAAATACAAATTATAATCTAGTTATACAAAATGACATTGAAAGAAAAGAAGAAACAATAAATACAACTATAAATCATGACACAGCTGAATTGACATTTGATACGCAAATTCATGAAATTTTACAACGAAAAACTTCGAAGTTGAATAAAGTACGTGAGATTATGCTGGTGTTTGCTGCATCCAATTTTCAATAAAAAATATCTCATCTTTCTTTATTTGTTGTTGCTATTTTTTGTTTTGTTAAAAAGGTCAAGAAATTTCTTATGAAGTTTTGATTTTAAACTATTAAATTTGATTTAGTCATTGTCTTCATCAGCAGACGTTGACAAAAATAAGATCTTCATACCAACTACATTCAAAGATATTAGTGCATTTTTTGAAACGAAATCATTAATAGCTAATAAAACTGATGCATCTAAACAAAAGAAAATTGTGCGAGCCAAACGACAACTGTCAGCAAAGTCTTATATGCATACAAACAATCATAATTTGCCAAAGATAGAAATCATTTCATTGAGTGAACCAGAATCAACTTTTTTTCGTCATCAAATCAAACGATTAAAGAAAACATCGAACTGCGAATTTGAACCGATTACTGAACAACAAAAAATAGTTAAACATATTGCTACTAGACAATTAATTAGTTTTGATAAAAGTATCAAAAAAATTGAACATGAAAATCAAGCAAAACAATTACCCATACTGATGAATAACAAGTTGCCGATGAACAGTCTTATAAATCAATGTTTTTTCGTTTTATTTCTTACTATTACTATACTTTTATATTTATATTTTTCTAATTTAACAAACAATTCGAAATATACCCATGTGTCAAACCCAATAGTTCATCTTCAAAACTATCCATTCAAGTTTTCTCCTCGACAATCTCAAAAGTCTATTGAATCAATCAATAAAAATGTTATTTCTCGATACGGACAAATGGTACGAAATTTTTTTTTTTCTATCGATAAGTACGAATATAAAAATAATATTTTTTATGTAATAACTTCGACCTATGAACATATATACGATTATTTTGTACATTTATTTATGTAAACCTACAACTAAATATATTACTAATAAAAACATATTGACTACTGATGTGATATTCAAATGAATCTCTTTGCTAATTTAATATTTTCAAATGAATGTATACTAATATTTATTTAATTTTACGAAGTAATTAATATTAACACACTACAAACGACGGATCAATTCGAGATAAATGGAGTATCAAAAACAACAGTTAAACTTGTTTCTAAACCATTGAAAGACGCTGACATACTGTTAAAGATATACTCGATATTAAGTGCATAGATATCAAAAAACCAATAAATTCTTTCATCATTTCTATTACAAATAATCTTTTTTTTACCTCGTTCAAAATCTGAAAATCCTATTGAATTTGACTGTTTCTTGTAAAACAAAACGTCTATCATCCTGTGTGTGGGGATTCCAATGGTGCACTTTTCTCATAGTTTAAATGTTATTACTTTGGAATTTAATTAAAAAGTACAATCAAGACAATGTATCGATTCTAGTCAGAATGGTCCTTTATGTTTTTGATTACAAACGATGATAATATACAACCTTTTCTTTTGTTGTTTTTCTCTAACGATAGAATAGAAGACTTCAATGTACACATATTTCAAGAAGTGAATACGTTGATTATCTAAAATATTAATGTAACTCAGAGTCTCATTGTTTCATTTCTTTGTTGAGCCTCATTTTCAGAATAAAATTGAGAAACAATAATTCTATTATGAATAACAAACAAAAAAAGAAAGTTTCATCTGACTCAGAACATAAATTATGAATTCATGACGAAAAAAAAAAGTTCAATATCGATAATGATGTCGAGAATAGAGTAAATCATGGAAAAGCTTTGAATCAATCGAAGCTAAAAAAGTAAATATAATTGTAGAATACTTTAATGTAAAAAAGTAAGAATATTCATACGCGAACTATTTCTTTTTCTTTTCATTGGTACTGAAGCCACCAATTTTCGTTTACTCGTACAGCCAAGAACTAGAGAAAATAAATTAGCAAGTCCATTGAGAAAAACTAAAATAACATACAATTTCGATCAGTTTTTGAAAGATCAATATTCATTTCTAAATTTTGCTCATCTTCATCATTGAGCAAACCAATGGGCACGTCAGCTACTGCTGTAACTAAAACAAATGATAAGGCAGAGAAACAAAACGCTTTTTGTTTTCAAAGTATATTTTGATTTTTAATCGTACGTTTCTTAAAAATCATTGTTTCTTTTTTATATAATTCATTACGTGGCAAAAATCCAAGTGATGACGTTGTTGTTGTTGTTGTTGATTGATCTTCGTTAATATTCTCAAATGGATTAGCAAACATAGAAATTGTTCGAAGAAGTGTATCACGCTTTTGTTCACTTATTAGTGCTTGTCGAGTTCCATCCATATCATCCGACATGCGAACAACCATTTGTGAGAGTGATTCAGCAAACCATGGTTGAAGTACACGTACCAATCGTATAAATATGAAACAATGATCAAGTTTAGTTGATAATTGCTCAGTGAAATAAAAAATCCAACCAATTCTTTGCCGATCAATTACTGAACAGTCACTTGATGATAATCGATAATAATCAGTTATAAAATTTAATATTTTATCAATCATTAATGAAACCAGATTACTATCATTAAGAATTAATTGAATGATCGGCTTCCAAAATTGAACTACACACGTTGGAAGTAGATCAGATGATTCTATCAAAACAAGATTCATAGGACTGATTTGAATGCTCGTTTTCACTATTAGATTACCTGAGTCATAAGAAAGACGTGCTAATTGATTGGGTACCATTATAAAATAACCGCATTGTACGAAAACTTCAGCCATAATTTCCCTGAAAATTTTTTACTTTCTTTAAATAAATAGGTGCATTTAATTCGACGTTTAATTACTTTCCATTACACATTTGTAATGCTTTTCTTATTTCTTCAACACGTTCATCGACCATTTGTAGTCGTTTTTTACTTCGCTTTGTTAGAAACTACAAGAAAAAAATGTTGTTGTTATTCTTCTCCCAATGTATATGACAACAACAAAAAACGAACATTAAGACGAGCATCCACATAAGCTTGAATAGTCTCACGAGCAATTATTTCAAGTAATTCGCTATAAGAACCTTGACTAAAGAGTGCCATCGTTTCCACTAAGTCGTCAAGACAATGTTTCTATGATAATAATAAAAGACATCAGTGTGTAATTATATATACGCATATATATACAAATCAAATAAACATGAATTATGAAAATATAGTTATTCACTTACTCGAAGCCATTGTTTACTAAAATCGACAGCAGCAAGTAAATCATACAATGATGGTAATTCATGATGATGAGCAATATCATGTCGTAAACTTATTATATGACCAGGTAAATCAACCTAAATCGACAACAAAAAGAGTAACGAATAAATAAAATAATAAATTTAGAAGATACTTGTTTAGCAATATTCCGATATGAAAGACGAGAATGATGAACACGATATGGAGCACTAACTGCATCGACGAATCTTAAAATTGAAACAATAATTTATAAAATAATCGCTAATGAACTTGATCATGGTAATCGTATTTCTATAACCGTACTGATCATATTTATCAGGATTCATTTTTCAATGGTACAAGAAAAACACTCTATTTTTAAGATTTCTGAGGGCTGGAAGAAATTTAGAGTTTTACAGCATCATATTCAGTAAAAACGAATTCTGCTATAAAAAAATTCGTTCTCTTCCTCTTGTTTGTATGTTTTCAAATTTTACAAGGGAAATCACAGAAAATGTCGTAACTAACGTCATTACGTACTAAATTACTACCCTTGGGCAATTTATTGCCACGTAATTATCTAAAGTCTGAAACTTGTGCTGTTACATTGTTTAAAAGCTTGTCTCTGATAATCTACATCAAATATTTTCTTATAGAATGTATTTAATAAACCAGTTCATTGACTATTCAAAGATTTATCTGATTTTGAGTTGAATCCTTGGTAGAATTTGAAAAAATAGCACATGAAAATTTTTATTGATCGTATACTTCTATGATAATACAAATTTAAGTACTAGACATAAATTTACTTTAATACAGCTACTGCACAAGCATATTGTAGAGCACTGTTTTCATCAGTTCTATTTTGTTCTTCTTGTTCTGATCGAATTATTTCAATTTTAAGAATGTGCTTTAACGAACCGAGACCCATTGGCAATTGACTTATCCTAAAAATGGCAAAATCATTTCATAGAGTAATTACTTATTATGCACTATTCAAACCTTGCTTCTAATTCGTTAATTTTGTTTATCGCTTCTCGTTTATCTTCGATTGCATTTGAATAAGCAAGTTCAATTAATTTTCGTACTTCTTGACTAAAGGATTCAGCAAAAAGAAATGATTCATTATTTTATTTTGTACTTGAAAAAAAAACAGAATTTACTCGTTTCGAAATGGAGTCACACTTAAAGTTATGGATGCCATCTAGAACGATAAATGCTTCGTATATACAAGAAAAATTGCTATATAGTTGTGCCGTAAAGAGAAAAAAAAGAGAAAAGAGAAACCCAAAACAAGCAATTATTGACTATCACAGAAACATTCAAACATTTACGAAGTATATCAGTCACAGAATAAAGATATAACGCGTTTCTTTTATTAGAGATTCTTAATTGCTGATCCATTAACTGATTGTTGGTACTTCATTGAGAAGAATATTTGAAAGTTGCACAGAACTATTTGTATCCAGTGAATATTGTCGACGATACTGTCCAATAGTATTACGAGTCTAAAGATAAACAAAAGAAATTCACTATCATTAGAATTGTAGAAGATTTAATAGTAAAGTAAGAACTAAAATTAGCTGTACTGAATTTCTTCAATAAACCCGAAACTTTTATCTTATTTTCATCATTATTCTAAAATATTGTAATTTTATGTCAACTACTAACCATTGAATGTCGAGTACAGAAGTCAGTTCGAACCAATTTTTTTCGTTTCGCATTTGATTCCACATAGAATTTCGAGTTTACTCCAGTTATTCTCTTCACTTTCAAAAAGTGCGATGTTTTTCAGAAGCACAACATGGATAGTGTTCCTAGCAGGTGGTTGGGGGAACGGGNCTTAGTTTTTCTACAATAAACAAAATATATTTATTTCTTCCTTTGTTTTTTTTTCTTAAATTATTTCAGCCAATCTTGAAGTTGCCCTGGCAAGTTAGACTTAATTTGAAAGAAGAAATTTGCTTTCATCAAAAACTCTAGTAGTGAACAAGTAACAACGAAAATTAAAACTAGGAACATCTTTTATAGTTGCCATATGATATTCTGAGAATGATAGAGTACCTCTGTTGAATAGAATCTGTAATTTTATTATACATATGCAAACACTGCTATAAACACATGTCTTTTTAAAACGATTTTTCGATATATCGAAATGTTTATTCTTATTCGTCTTATAAGAGCTTTAAAAAACAAAAGAATGTTCTAAGAAATTTGAAATAGTATTGTACAATTCTTTTTCCATGAGCGTTTTCTCTTGCCATCATCGTAAACACATTCCAATGTCAAACGATTCTTATATATCTATTGTGAAATTGGAGTTCAAGGATACAAACACATGTCTGAAGAAGAAAGTACAATCTTACGGAAAAATTCCCTTTTAAAAGTCATTTTGCCTAAATGACAAGAGAATAGATGTTTTAGGTTTGTAATGACATACTCATGTATCATTCTGAAATTAATAGTATGCCTTGTTCAACTATCTATTATGCAGTTCAATATTGCGGTAAAAAGAAAAAAAAACACTCACTATATTGGCAAAGAATGATGCTTCAGATGTTTTCTCTGAATAATTATCATATTGATCAAGATCATCATGTAATTTAAGTGCCAAAGTATCATAATTATTTCTAATAAGATCTAATACCTTTTGAGGAAAAAGCGCAACAAATCGTTTTTTATTAAACAAAATCTCAATTTTATACTTGATTTTCAGTTAATGGATTGTTTTGAGTGTTTGAAAAAGTTTCAATTTTTGTATTAAAATGATTTGTTATAAGTCTTTAAAACAGAAAAAGAAAAGAAATTTATTTCACAACCGAAAGATTGTCCTTTTTGTATTTTTATTTTACCTGATATTTGTTAAATTAACCATTAATTTTAATGCTGATTCTTTAAATTCATTATCATTATTTGCATATCGAAAGGCTAAATATTGAAAATAGAAAAAAAACACAGAATCTAATAAAAGTTTATTTACCAAATGCGTATAAATTATCAAATACATGATAACATCGTACTGTTTCATAAAAAACTTCATCATACGCTTCTGGTGTTCTCAAGAATGTATCACCAAATGTAATAAATAAATTAAATATGTTAATGATTCTCGAAGCTAATTGAAATAAATCTCGATGTTTGGTTAATTGTGATTCACAGTTTTGAAGAAATTTTAAAAGACATATTAAAGCTAAATAATAATATTGAAATCAAATTAAGTCATAGCAATAGCTAAAAAAAAAACTTCTACCGTTCCATAATGGTCTCCATGAATAAGACAAACGTGTTCGGGTACGTTTTTGAAATGAAAGTATACGTTGAATGATGCCAATGCATTTTCTATTTGAACAAAAAATAATTGTTTTAATCTAGTTCGAATAACAAACAAACAAACTTACGTATAAAGATCAAATGGAAAATTACGCATCATATGACTCCAAATGAATTCCATCATTAAATCCAAAAGTGCAACAGCTAATGGCCGTGATGGAAGATTTTTTTCACTACTACGTTTGCGATGACGCATTGGCTAAAATAATTTAAGAAAAAAAAACAAAGGAAGAAATAAATATATTTTGTTTATTGTAGAAAAACTAAGATAATGCATACAGCTTTATGAAGATAAACAGTAAATGTAACATTTTCATCATGCATCGTTGCATTTGCAAATTCATCTTCTGTTATACAAAGAAGAATTAAATAACATAATTTGGTTGTATTACACATATCTTCATCTAGTATTAAAATTGAAATAGAAATAGAAATAACAGTTCTTTTTACAGATATTTTTTATACTTTTTGAAAATTGTTGAATAATTGAGCAATATTCGAGAAAAACAGAAAGAAGATTATTCGATCCAGAAAAATCATCCATATTGGAAAAATCTGTTTGATCTTGAACTAAAAATTTAAACTAGTTGTAATCAATTCTAGATCTTTAACGAACCAGCAAGCATTGATGCTGAACTTAAGACTGGTATTAAAGGAGGTAAAGCATCTGTGCTTGATAATGATGAGCCTTTTGTTGTCCATGAATTAGTTGCTGTCTACAAATAAACTAATTTTCATTGATTGATGAATTTGAATGAAATACATACATGTGTCAGAGCTGATATAAAATTGCGATTGAGATGAACAGCTTCATAGAATGCAAGCAAAAGGCAATCATCGACTCTAGACAAATAAAAACATATTATTAAAGAAATGAAATCGGGCATCAGTCGAAACTACTTTTTCATTCGACGATTTCCAGCTCCAGATTGTATGGCTGAGCCCACCTAAAACGCATATAACCAAAAAAAACGAAAATATTTCGATTTCTACTGTCGCAAACTAGGACCTGCTATGTTTTACTGACAGCGATATTCTCCTATGAATATCGATGAAAAATGTATAAAACCTTTTATCAACAGAGTAAGTTTATTCGAGATAATATTTCATTAAAAATGCTTTCGAGATTTTTGACGATCAGACTTTTCCTCTTATAGAAAAATTAGACAGACTTTCGTTACGTAAGATTTCTATGAATTACTATACTAAACCATTGGAATTGAAGCAGAATAGAAAACTGGCGCTGTCAGTTTTGGAAAATTTCTTCTACCAGAAACGATGATGACTAATCACGTACTCTAATTGATAACTACAACAAATTTCACCATCTCTTTGAATGTATATAATTGAGGGATCTTTACATTCAAAGAGATTTGCGAGTACTCGTTTCTAGGCAAAACGAAAAAAGGCACACGAATTTTCATCAATCCAACTTGAAGTTTGTGCTCATAATCAGGTAGCTAAAGATTAGAATTTATTCTTCTTTTCTTAAAGAATACAAATAAGATATTCTTTATTTCAAGACTCTATTCGATGTTCTACGAGTCAAAGAAGATATTACTTACGAATGTTGTTAAAGAACTCCACCATGATGATGATTCATTTGCAGTTCGTTCAATATCATACGCTCTACAAATGTAACATATTATATTTAATAATATAATAAATCTATTTACTTATTATATTCATTTAGAGATGAACCAATAACTTGTGCTAAACTCTAAGCAAAACAAAACGCTTCATTAATAAACCAATTTGATTTCAATTCACTTACAGTTAATGCAACTTCATCATCAAATACTGAAAATCGTATAATATACGTGTTAGATGTCTATAATATAATCAAAATTATACAATCTCTATTTTATAAAAAAAAAGGCTTGTTCATCCTACATCATATTTATGATACTGTAAAAGAAGTGCAAGTAACAAGCAAACATCATAACCATGACTTGCTGGACAACGAATCAATAGTTGTGTAATTGAATCGAAAAGATTTACATTTGCCATCATATAATCCATAAGCATATTTTCATTTATATTTAACATTGTCGTACAACATGTTAAAATGACATCAAATGCAGCATTTTTTAATAAAATACTTCCAGAAAAACTTTCATCAATAAGAAATGTATGATTAACTGATTCGATTAAAGTCTATGACAAATAGCACAAATAATATTAATGACATATTTAAGAAAAACAATAAATATACTTCAAATTTATTATCAGCTCCTTCACTGCCACAGAGAAAATCCAATGCTGGATTACCAAAACCAGTGCGTTGATTGACTCTACTTATTGTATGTATAAGAGTGCAGATAGTCTAGAAAAAAAAATTTAAAAAAATTAATATTGTTATAGTATATTAACAAAAATAGGTACATAATATGCATTTAATTGTCGAATACGATGTGTTGCATTGATAAACGTAAGGCATTGATCAAACATTGTATTCAATTGAGGCTATTCATTCATTGAAATTTTATTATTTTCTTTCAAGCAAACAGAAATATTATAATGCATACTTTAAGTACAGCAGGTTTATCAAAATAAGTGCGTTCAAGTTCTTCTAGTAAATATTTTGCATTCACTTTTAAAAGAAAGAAATCATCCCAGTAATGACCATTGTCAAGCCACGGTTGGTCACCCTGAAGATAATCATTGAATTTCAAAGAAAATAAACAATATCAAATATAATTCAAATAATATAAAGCTTACGCTGAACAGAGCATCGTAGAGTACGACAATTTTTTCTTTTAAAGCTGTTTTGACAGGCCAAAACGATTTGTTAACAGTATTACTATCAGCCGACATTCCAATTTTAACTAAATTTTCACGCTGGGATCGAAGAAATGTATTGAGAATACAAAA